AAAGAACATCTGTTACATGTTTCACTATAGTATATGTGTTTACTGTTGATGGTATTTAGTGTGATAATGAGTAAAAGAACATCTGTTACATGTTTCACTATAGTATATGGGTTTACTATCGATGGTATTTAGTGTGATAATGAGTAAAAGAACCTCTGTTACATGTTTCACTATAGTATATGTGTTTACTGTTGATGGTATTTAGTGTGATAATGAGTAAAAGAACCTCTGTTACATGTTTCACTATAGTATATGGGTTTACTATCGATGGTATTTAGTGTGATAATGAGTAAAAGAACTTCTGTTACATGTTTCACTATAGTATATGTGTTTACTGTTGATGGTATTTAGTGTGATAATGAACAAAAGAACATCTGTTACATGTTTCACTATAGTATATGTGTTTACTATTGATGGTATTTAGTGTGATAATGAGTAAAAGAACCTTCTCTTACACATTTCAATATAGTATATGTGTTTACTATTGATGGTATTTAGTGTGATAATGAGTAAAAGAACCTCTGTTACATGTTTCACTATAGTATATGTGTTTACTGTTGATGGTATTTAGTGTGATAATGAGTAAAAGAACCTCTGTTACATGTTTCACTATAGTATATGTGTTTACTATTGATGGTATTTAGTGTGATAATGAGTAAAAGAACCTCTGTTACATGTTTCACTATAGTATATAATATTTAGTGTGATAATGAGTAAAAGAACCTTCTGTTACACATTTCAATATAGTATATGTGTTCATTATTGATGGTATTTGGTGTAATAAAGAGTAAAGAACCTTCTGTTACACATTTCACTAAAATATATGCGTTAATTATTGATGAGATTTTTTGGTAGTGATAATATCGTGGAATATTTTCTGGGTTTACTTCAGAGTGAATCCTAACATCAGTATTGTAAATATAGAAATTCCTTTTGTTAATCTTTTTTTTATATTTTTATCAGTTCCACCAAAAATTGAGAATTCCGGAATACCGACGTTTATGTCTACAGTCAGTGGCCATCCCACTATTCTTGAATGTTCAACATCTGGTACTCCAGTGCCTACTGTCTTATGGCTTAAAAATGGACGCTCGATCCAAAACAATGAAAAAATTCAAGGTAGTAGACATCAACTTGAGATCCATGTAACAACAGTGTCAGATGCTGGAACATATTCTTGTATAGCTTCTAATGTAGCTGGAAATAGTTCCAGAGAATACGTCCTTAATGTGCTTGGTGAGTATTCTGTTCTCAACTGAGTTTATTTTTTATTATGACTTGAACTACAAATTTCAACTGGAAGGAAAAAAAAAAGAAAACTTATACTCTGTATTATATTGTCCATATTCATTCTTGCCATAAATCATATTCTGTGCATGAGTTGTTTGTTTAAAAAATCTATAGGAGAAGCTTGTAGATAAATATATTTGAACTGTTTAGACATTCATCACTGATATAAATATATATATATATATTCTATATAGTTCCACCATCCATTAAAGATGGTCCAGAGAAAGTTCGTGAGATTGTTGGTGAAAGCATTAGGCTTCATTGTGAAGCTGAAGGTGTTCCCCAGCCACAGGTGACTTGGTTAAAAGATGAAGAACCACTTCCTCCAGTTGGGCTGAATTATGAGGTGTTGTCTGGAGAAGACTTACAGTTCTTGAATGTCAGGGTCCACAATGCAGGAAACTATACCTGTGTGGCTCAGAATGAGGCTGGTTTTGCAAAAAGAAACATCGAACTTGATGTAATGGGTAGGTTTCATTATAATAAACATGGTGATAATTCTGTAGGAAATAGAATTAATGTTTTAATTGACATATCAACATTGTTCATTGATAACTTCTAAAATTATAAAAAAAAGGTTATCTTTTCAGCCATCTTATTGTAAACTATATAAATTATCTGCTTGTGTTTGTCAAATGTGCATGTTGCTAACTAGTTCAATTAAGTGATATCTCAAGGCAGTCATCAATTTAACCAGTTCACGACAAGCAATGTGCTATGGTGGTAATCAGTTCATGTCAAGCAATGTGCTACAGGGTAACCAGTTCATGTCAAGTCACTGTTAGTGTAATCTACCCTAGATACTATTAGTTAACTGAGTGTTAGTGTAATCTATCCTAGATATTAGTTAACTGAATGTTAGTGTAATCTACCCTAGATATTATTAGTTAACTGAGTGTTAGTGTAATCTACCCTAGATATTAGTTAACTGAATGTTAGTGTAATCTACCCTAGATATTATTAGTTAACTGAGTGTTAGTGTAATTTACCCTACGATATTATTAGTTAACTGAGTGTTAGTGTATTACC